TACCGGGATCCAACACGACGGACTTTAGCTAGGCCATTCTATCGCCTGATCAACTTATAACGCCGTCCTTCTTCGCATCAACTCTAACCAGCTTAACTGTACCTGCTGAAGGTACAGCATAATACTGCCACCACCATGTTGCAACATGGGGATGCTACTTTTCACTCTCCTTGACTGCATGACATCAGGGAAACATAATTACGAGATGCATATATTGCGAGATATTGTTGCTGGACACTGTGGGCCCTCGATGTTTATAGGAATTAGAAGCAATACTTCAGGCCTCATATATAAGTGTTTGTGACTGCACACTTTAATAGTTCAAACACACACTACAGGAACCCTCAATCTTAGCACTACTGCTAAATCTTACGTCAATAGTCTTCCTCATTTCCCGATGATTCGGGTTACAGCCAGTCAGGGTCAAGGAAAGTAAAATGCAGCTCCTGGATTGGCCAGTCAATGGAAGTAGCATCGCGCCTTGTTATGTCACCTTCCAAAGCTGCTTTTTTGTAAAAATATGTTTTTGTTATGCGCTTCAGAAAGTCAGGAAGTGAAACACTTCACAGGAAAATCCACAAATTCTGAACTGCAAATGTCTTATTGATTATAATTCAGCCTTCATTGTTTTCTTCCCGACCCCGTTGTAGACAAGCATCACTCTGCCACCGTTATGGGAATGGTGTGCTTGGGATGATTGGTTTTTTACAGGATACGTACAGGATATGTGGTGCGGTACGTAGTTTTGGTTTCATCAGACCAGATGAACTTTGACACTATCCCACTCATGGTTTGTGGTTTAAAATGACGTTGTACTTTGTCGCGTAAAATCCCAATAAACTGAATTGAAGTTGTGGTTGTGATATAAAAAAAAATATGAGACAGTTTAGGCGGTATTAATGTGCTTGGAAAGCTTTGTAATGACAGCTCTGGTTGGTTTCAGAAGTGAAGTCGTTCACTGGAAAAACTTGCTGATTGGAGAGATTCTATTTCATTCCTAATCCTGTGATGATTCTGAAAGCCTTCGTCGAGGATCTCGGGTCATGGACGGCTTCCCCCCTGGACTTTGAGGGAGTCTGTATTTTTCACAAACAGATCTCAGATTGCAGGTTGGAACCACACAATTTTCCGCCTGAATGGGAAGCACAAATCATCTCGGAGGTGAATTGCATCGTTTTCCATGCGAGGTTCGCTGAAGTCGCCTTCGTTCCCTCACAAACGGCCCGGCTCGCAGCGATTCCCCTCACCGCTGGTGCTTACCTCCGTTTCCAATGACGGAGTGCGGTACCTCCGGTCTGCTCCTGTTTCTTTTCAGGCAAAATATAATTTTAGCCGACTGCACTGACCAGTGGACACAGTGACTCATTTCATGTTGCTCAGGGCCGCTCCGCGTCATGCGGGGAGCTGCAGCGGCAGGAAAATGACAGACTGACACACTAGATTTACGACCAGAGAACTGGGTGGCTTTCAATTTTTAAAGCAGCCGTTCATCTCACATCACACACACCCACACACACACACACACACCCACACACACACACACACACACACACACACACACACGCGCACACACACCGGCGGAGCCAGACAGCAGTAAAAGTGGCGAGACGAGAACTGCGGAGGCAGATAGTCTTGTCAAATGTCTTGATTTAAACAGTCTGGCTGCAGGAATAAGAGGAAGAGAAGCACGCAGCCGTTGTGATATTGATTTGCCCACAGTCGGTGAAACGATTCGAGGAAATGAAGGAGATCAATGTGCGAAGCGCCAGGGGAGAAAATAAGAAGCCGATATCTGATTAGTGGGGCCGGGGGAGGAAACGTTTAATTGTAGCATGTGAGGCAGTCAGCAGCTTTTATTTTGTTATCCATTTGTATAAAGTTTTTATTGGGGAAAGCTCAATATCAGGCCTGTGCTAGACACAGGATTACGCTGCGATGTGAACAATAAATTACCCTCTTACAGATTTCTTTAATTTTTATTGTTTTAAAAAATATATATATCAAAGATAACCCAAGTAAATGCAGCAAACAGTTTGCAACCACTTTTACTAGAAGCTGAAAAGTGATTCCACCGGAAATACCTGAAGTGAACCACATTTTTTTATTTTCCTAATCAAAACCCCCCTGCAGAATCAAGAAATAATTTAAACAGAAGCTGTCTGACAGCAGGAAGCATCGTAAAAGATGCCAAAAAGCAGCTCTTCATCTAGAGATAATCAAGAAGGAAAGGCTTAAAAAAAACTGTTGGGACTCTGTTGAGACCTATTATCCACACATGGAGAAAACATGCAACAGTTGTTATTCTTGCCAGGATTGGCCAAAATCACTCCCAACATACACATTCAGAAGACCAGAAAAGAAAGAAACACCTGAAGCCAAACTGCTGTCTATGGGAGAGTGCACCACTCCTGACAAGAGGAACATGTTTCCAGAAGGCATCTTGATCATCCCCCAGAGTTTTGTGGAAAATATTCACAAACGACAAACTTGTTACAGCGAGTGTAAAACTATCACCACCATATTTGCCAATCATCAAACATTGTGGCGGTAGTGTGATGGTGTGGGACTGATAAAAAAAAAAAGTTCTAAATTAGGATTTTTTTTTTAGAGTGGCCTAGTCAAAGTTTGTTCATAAATCTGATAAATAGGCCATTGATGTTTGAAAACCGTCTTCTGTCTAAAACAGTTCATAAAAAAAGAGTGAACCAAAATGCCTCCGCAGTGATGTAACCAACTCATTGGCAGTCGCCACAAACACTTGCAACAAGCCATGAGACATGGCTTGTTTGCCATGCTGACAAACGGCTGTTGGAGCCAAGGTTGACACAGGCAGTGTTTAGGTTTGAGGTAGTCACTTTGTTTTGGTTTTGCACAATTGAATTTGGAGAGATTTTACTCTGGTTGCTGTCACCTGACGTTAAAATCTCCGCAAAACCAATTACGTTACCTGAAAAGCAAAAACCTTTCTCACGGCCCTTTAACGTCTCCCTCTTTGTGCCTTTGTGTCGCCTCTCCGAGGTCCTCCAGTCTCATGGCTTGTTGTTGTTTCTGCTGAAGAGAGGGAGGCGATGTGCGCCGCTTCAGTCCGCCGGGGACCGGCAGGCCGGCTGGCGACCACCGCCTGCGCCAGGGGGGCTAAATATAGCACACTGCATGAAACTTGGGAGAGAAGGAGGGGTATAAATATAGAGTATCCTGGTGCAATTAGAGAGCCGAGCGCTGCTGGGAAATTTTAGGGAACTCTCTCTGAACTGGGTCTCTTCAGTAACTAAATGATGTTGTTTGGATTGGCCAAAACAGACGGAGTTCCTTCACCGTGAGTCACTGCGTTTTGAAAAAGTAGCCCAGTTTAGCCGTTTTTATTTTGCTTTTAACTCCATTTGCAACACAAACTGCACAAGCAGCCCCTCATTTACTCCAAAACGGGACACTTTAAAACCGTGGACGTCCACTGCAGCAATTTCACTCAAAGACGCGTCAATTTGAACATCGACGTGATCTTTAGGAGCTTGTCGCTCTTTTGAGAAATCTGGCAGACAGGATGATAACAGTTATAAGGCATTTTGTAAGAAAAACAATGACGGCATCAAATTAGGGAGCGGATCTGCCAGACGTGACAAAGACAGGATTCGTTTGGGATCCAGAAGGGAGGAGAGCCTTGAGCAAAAAAAAAAAAAGGCAATAATGAAAAAGTTTGTGCAAAAATGTAAACAATTATGTGTCCAGATCTCCTCAAATGCAATTGTCACTATTAATGATGCTGTGATAATCACTCAATGCATTCTGGGAGGGTGAGACATTGCGGTTTGCTGCTGTTTGTTTCACAGACAGACATTTAAACACTTGTTTTTGTTTTTCGTGCGACTGCTTCACATTAACATTAACCAATAAGCTTTCTATTTGGTTATTAGCATTTGGTTATTACTAAACAAATTGACCAAAGAGGCTTTTTCTGTCTATTTTGTGTTGAGTAAAACTCTGATGTAGGGTTAGGGACACATGATTTGTAGCATGAAAGGGAATAAACTTTTAATTTCTCAGTTTTCTTGCAACTCGTATTTATTTTAGTCTGGATTTATTGTGTGTCATCATTCTTACTTTGGCTAAATGTTCTTAAACAAACTAGCTTGAAACAGTGGATCAGACCTCAAGGCAACATGTTAGTAACTTTCATTAAGTGACAAAAAGCTTTGTGATTTTAAGTAGGACAAAAATCCATTCAAAGCACACATGTGCCATTCCTACTTAAATTATTAGTAATTTAAGTAGGAATGGCAAATTGTGCCTCATTTCTTCTCGGTTTGACTCGTATGAAATGCATTTTTAGACTCTTTCCATTTCAGGGCTTCAAATGCATTCAATGCTTCCAGGAAGCCTTGAATCAAGTTCCAACATTGCTGTTTTCAGCCCAAAAAGTACAAGTTGCAAGCCTGATGGCACATATAGAGTATTATCTGCAAAAATATTTTAGCACTTTGAAGATCTGGCCAGGACATCCTCACATGGCTTATTGTGTGTGAGACTAACAGATGGCTTTATAACACCATGTGATTGTTTTTAGCTTCTGAACCGGGACTTTAATCCCATCAACGCTGCTGGGGATGTCTGTTTAAACTTTCAATTCTTGCTGCGGATGACATTTTTGTGCATACCCGTGTGTGCACTTCTGTATCTTGCACTACAGTCATGTAACTGCACGGCCTGACAAACACTGGTGTCAAAAAACTCACATTTGTGTGACTGCCTGTAGCACTAGGTGTCCTCGATGTCGTCGTATCTGCTGTCCCCCTTTATCTCTCTTCCTATCTGTATCTCTTTTTTTTTTTTTCGACCGTCCTGTAAACTTTAGTCTTTCTTTCTGGGTCACTAAGTTCCAGAACCCGTAAGCAGGCACTCATATCAAACATCACCCAACGTGATAAACCTGATAAATTGTATCTTCTGAATGTCCGTTTTATTGTTTGTTCCACGTCTCAGTGTTTCTTTTTCTCCCTCTGCAGAGTGCTGATGTCAGCGATTCATCCTCACAGAGACAATCTGGTATCACTCAAAGCGCTTCGATTCTCCACCTTTTCCTCCCGTGACAGCCAATCAGATGGACAGAGCTGCTGGATTGGACGCAACCCTGAAGCACTTTGACATAAAATGATGGAACATTTCTTTGTCTTTTTTTTTTTTCTTCTTCGCTTTCATCCGGTTGGTTGAGCAAACCTACAGGGATGTGTGCCAAATGATATTCTTAAAGAGTAATTCACTGCTCTCATTTCATGAAGTGGAAGCCAATCAGAGGACGGTACAGGATGGAGAATAAAGTGGAGTTTTTTGTGTGTGTGTGTTTTTTGTTTGTTTTGTTTTATACCTCTAATGACAAAAGAGTACAAATTTGGCAGAGTGGTATGTTTAACAAAAAAAAAGAAAATATATAAAATCACATAGCTGCTCAAAAGTGCCTCATTTTCATATTGTAGCCATTCTAAAAGCTAAAGCTTTGGGTTTTGTTGTTTCATTCTTGACTTGATGTAATTACAGCTGATGGTGCTGATAGAGATCAGTAGCTTTTTTTTTTTAACCACCGATGCGTTCATGTCATATAGGATCAATGCAAGAGATTGGAAAGTTTGAACGCTAACAACCGACTTTTATACCCAAAATATTTAAAGTTTGTCTAATCAGAAACAGCCATGTTTTTAGCAAATATGCCATATAAAAATTTCAGACAGAAAACTTTGGTTTTAGCACAGTAGGACCTTTGTTGTGCCCTTTCCTATTAAAAAGAAGAAGAAAAAAGATATGTAAGTATATTCAACTTTTTAACCTGATAGTGAGTCACAGCTTGCGTTGAAAAAACTAATTAATATGATCTGCACATTTCCTAATTTTATTGAAATTAAATTTCCAAAGTAACTAAATGTTATTTACTTTTAAGTACATATCACCAGTGATATCTCATTAGAAATACTTTTTTAAAAAACTCAGGGCTGTATTTTCATTTAATGCATATATCTAATTATTTTTACTGAGGTGCTAGTTATTTTGATTAACGTTTTTTGGGTACTTCTACCACTGCCGTTGTTGACGTCTATTGGAAGAAAGGATGTAAAGAAAGAAAAATAAGACATTCATCAAATGAAACCCTTTAATGCAGAAAATCATTGGTTCCCTCTATCAGCACATTTCCAACCTGTCTTTTACATAGCTTATGTGAAAATAAGCATTTTGTGATTCCAAAGAGTCGCTTGTTTATGAGTGGTAAAAAAAAGGAGAACTATCTGTAAAGCACAGATTTTTTTGTAAAAAGTCTATTTTCGTAATTGTGTGCCATAAACTTTGTAATTGGGCATTTCTAAGCAAAATTTTAGCATATGTGCTTAGGGCGGAAATCGGGGGTATCGCTTAAGAGAATGTAAGACAATTCAACAATCTATTCATTCATTTAAATCAGATTGATCACCTTTAATTAACAAACTCAGGTCTTTATTTTTGTTGATTTTTTTTCTTACTGAGATATATAGGTTTTAATAAATTAAAATAATCCAGGAATCCGGCGCTGATGCACGTCGAATGGTGATTAATGTTTTCTATTTATTTTTGAAGTGATCAGTCAGTACCAACTCTTGGCTTGCCATACTTTATCACAGATTGAACAAGCACTGAAGTTCACCACGGTGACACAAATAACTGATGTTTAGCCAATCACAGTTCGATCTGAAATTATAATGCCTGAGAATGAGGAGTGACCAGAGCTTGTTGGTTGAGACGTGTATTTTTAACGCATGCGGATGTTCGTTGCCCATTTGTCTGAAGGCATCCGAAGCTGAACATTTCTACGTTTCTTTATAGTTTTATAGCAACTTTGTCCGAATTAGAAACAAGCTATCACTTTGTGTAGCTGTGTCTGCATGAAAAGTTCTCGACAAAATAATAAAAAAGGTTGCTACAACAATAACTCCAATATGACATGAACGCTAATATATGTAAACGGTACTAGCAACGTGCTAGCCTTCTTTCCTACTGTGAGAAATATTAGCAAAGCTGCCGTTAGCTCGCCGCTAATCCGTGTGTTGCATTTTGATGCTTATACTTTTTCTCCTGACTTCTTTTTTTTTTAACTGTTGACTTTCATATTTTCTGTCCGGTGAGCCATAAATAAAAGTGTTAAAATCCACAGGCTTGAAGGAAAATGGCGCTTGTAGCAGGGAACAGTTGGTCGCTAGCTTACAGCCAGCTGGCTCAGATTAGCATTGTTAGCCTGGACATAAATTCACTGTCCTGCTGACCACAGCCGGGGTTGGACCACCCCTGAAATAGAGCGACGCAATCTCATTAGTGCTATTAGCTTTAGTCAGTCCCTTAATCCCGTTCGTCTCAGGATGCTAAATAACAAACAGTACAGAGCCGAGGACAGTGTCCCTATCAATAGCCATGATTATGCTAGCTTTGTATGGTCAGCAAATATTGATTTTAGCATCTGTAAATGGGCTGGGACTCGTTTTTGCTTTTGCATAAATCTGCCAGCCGAGTTGTTCTCAGTTGTTAATGTGCAGCACCAATCTGTTTTAGGATGTTTCATTTGTCTTTTCAAAACTGATCAAAGTGAAAGTGCTTTGGCCTCTAAATCCTGCTTAACAACTCCTTTTTTTCTCCCTTTCCTCTTCGCTTGCCTCTTTACTGTAATCTTCACTATGCATAAGAGCTGAAGTGCCTGTCCTATTTCCTAATCTGTCCTGCTCTTTCTCTCTGCCCCATTTTAGCACATAGCACTAACACATTTTGTCATAGCAGAATATAACATGTCTATTTTTGTGTCCATTTCTCGGCTGTGCAGTTGTGGCAGCAAAGTAACTCGCTTCAGTTTGTTCTGTGTGAAGTTCATCTATCAGAGGTCGGAGGTCGGGGTCTCGATCCCAGGATCCCAGGACTTGACCATCAGGTTGTCAGCAGTGCCAAAACAGCAGCAGCAGCAACAAAACTGCGCTGCTCCTGTCTCCGACACCACCTCCAGAAGCAACATTCAGTTCTCAATATGGGACACTTTGCTTTGTTTTATGATTGAAATGTACATTTTGATTGTTTTGCATTCTGTCGCTGTTTGACGGGAGGCTACTCTCGCATATCTCTGCCCACAGTCGGCTCATGAGGCTCTCTCTGAGATAAAGGTCACTGTGGGAGACTTGTGAACGCTTTAACCTTGAATTTGCCTATGACTATGACTGGAGGCTTGTAAAAAAAAAATGCATGGAGAGAAAGAAAAGGCCACCATGGAGATATACAACTTAAGTCAGAATACATATGTCTGTGTAGCATAAAGAAATATACACCGCCTTTCTTAATTATTCATACATTTTTTGCTGTTATAAACTCAAACTTGAGTGTGTTTTACTAGGGGTTTTATGTGGCCCACCATCACAAAATAGTGCAAAACTGTGAACTGAAAGACAAAATAGTTTTCAGGATTTCTTAAAAATGAAATTGAGAGAAGGGTAGCATGGTTGGGTTTTTTTTCTCAGCCTGGCAGGGGAACATCCATCCAACATAAGGTTGAATGGATGGAGAACATCTGTGAACATCTGTTTTCAAGTGTTTTTATTGAATTTTGGTTTGGACCACTTTATATGTAGATACGCTTGATTTAAACCGTCTCAATTGTTGCTCTGGCAGCAGTATTTATGGTTTTCCTGCTTGAAGTCGAACCTCCATCTGAAAGGTTTTTCTACACCTAGTAGATTTCTCTGCATTTTGCTCCATCACCTTTAAATCAGCGTGGATCAGATTCACTGACCCTGCTGAAGAGAAGCGTTCCCACAGTGTGATGCTGCCACCGCCATGTTCCATAGTGGTTTGCTCAAGAATTGCAGTGTTAAGTTTTCCACCACACACTGAGATTAAATTACACACATTGCATTTCCTCACTAATTAAGGACTTGTAAAGGCAAATGGCTGCACTGGATTTAATTTAGGGACATTGGATGATGATTATGTGTGTGTGAATGCACATAACATTTTCATTACATTTGTTATGTGGCCGCTACTTTTTGGCGGTCTATCACTCTATCCCAAGTAAAACACATTAGAGTTTGTGGTTGTAACGTGAAATGTATAAAAAAAAAAAAACCCAAAAAACTGAAGGTGTTCGAATGCTTTTTCAAGTCACAGTTTCTCATGTGTTTGCCTGTCTGTAAGTCCACAAACTTTCTCAGACCGGTCAGACTCTACAGCATTACAAGGCGGCTTTATTATGAGCTGATTGGGATCTGTGCTGGGAATTGCTCCGAATAATTCAGGAAAGGAAAACAGTTTGATCCTGATGGCAGACATCACTCCAGCAAAACCCATGGTCAAACGAATGAGTCGAAGCTGTCATGTACTTTGGAGACGTTCTCATATGGTGACGCCATCGTTTTCAGCCAAAGGCGTCAGTATACTTTTAGCCTAGAGAAAATGGTCAACAGACTTTTCTCTCCAACCTAACGATCAGGCTTAATAACCTTCAGAGAGCCGTTCACGGCCTGAGCTGTTCAAACTTGGTCCAACTCCCCACATTTCCTTGCAGCTGCCCGTGGCAAAGCGCTCAACGACCTCAAGGGTCACGGTGGAGAAGAGCAAGGGGTGTAGGTGGGCAGTTCAAGTGGCTGTATGATCTCACTCATTGCATTGTTAGCATGTTTATTTTTTTTTAGATGTTCTGATGTGCAGAAAAAAATGGTGCTGCTGCTTGGACTGAATTGTTTTATCTGCTCCTGCTGCGCCCCTTGAGGGATGGTACTGAATGGAAATATTGTATAATTTAGTGTTAATGTAGAGCGTTCTACTTCTGTTGCTTGATGAAAAAAAAAAACTGACCTAAAAGAAAAAACAAACTCATTCAACAAAAGTTGTTGTGGTTGTTTATTTTCCTCTTTAAATGTTGTGGCTTGCAGTTGGTTATTGTGCAGGATATTACACCTGCGCAGTTCTAGGAATGCAAGTCATCGATTAAGTTAATGTGAATTTGATTGAGCTTATCGATTGACCAGTGATTAATTGATAGGCGACCATTTTCTAAAAAACTTGAGTTTTCTCTTGAATCTAGAGGGCTGACTGGTTTTTCTTTAACATAAATGACTAACATTTTCATAATGTTGGATTAAAAAAAAGAATTAAATATTTTATCATATGTACTGTATGTCCATACAGACTAGATAAACAAAACACTGTGGTCATTCAACTTAGACATATTAATAAAACTTAAAACAGAAACTAATTAAGATGCTGAATAGAAAATAAATAGAATAAAGTATCATTTAGTTTTGGTTGAACACTTAATTCCCCATGAACAGAGAAATGTTCGTACATACTTGACTGTATGTGGAAATGTTAAAACGTCACTTCGTAAAGGGATTTAACTAACAGTCATCAAAATCAACTGTGCTTATTGGCATCATGGTTTTTCCGTCATTTTCTTTCCGTCATTTTCTTGTATTCCTTCTGTGTTTCTAACATTATTCTCACTTTCTTAGCAAATCTGCTATTTTGAGTGAGAAGTTGCCATGCAACTTAAAGAGCTTATCAATATTTCAAAACAGAACCGCATAGAGTGCATTTTGCGTCACGCAGCGGACTCTGTTCGGTCTGTTATTCTTTCCCGTTCTGGTATGACCCCGCCATCATTGTCTCCGTATCATCTGACTCCACTTGAAGTTGACAGCAGTTGACGGCAACTACAACACTAAAAGAAGGTCTGAATTTATCAAGTGGAACCAATTTTGATTTAATAAATCGTAAAATGACAATTAATTGTAAGTTGATACATTTTTTGCATCCATAAGTAGCAATGGATCAGTGCTGTGGAAATCTATTTACTCCTTTGTCTGGTTTGTTTTTTGAAGAAAATGTTTTTCTTTAAAAAAAGAAAGAAAAAAAAAAACAGTCTGAAACAGGTCAATTTCTAAAGCTTTGGGCCATTAGAAAATACCAGTTATTATCCATAAAAGGAGAAAAGATGAAGCCAAGGTGGGCAGGAGAGGCCTAAGATTAATCCAAACGTTCATGGAAGAATCCAGATTAACCTGTAATGCACTGAAGGTCCGTCTTGCATCAGTTCAAGTCATAATTCAGCAATAAGAAAAACGGAGCAAAAAAGACATTGATGACAGTCCCAAAGCTAAATCCACTGCTGATTAAAAAACAACAAACAAAGCTCCTGCTCACATTTACCAAGTAACATTCCAATCATCCCAAATTAAAAAAAAATAATAATAAAACATTACTTTGGCTTGTGAAACGAAAGAAGAGCATTCTGGTGTTGCATGTGTCCCGTTACATGTGGCAATTCAGCTTCAGAAATATGTAAAATTGACAGCATTTCATAAAAAAGACCAGCACACCAACTGGAGCTGCACTGTATATCAAATCACAGTTCTCACGGCACCAACGTTGGCAACATGGCATTTACAGCTGGCTGGCTGGCTGGCTGGCTGGTTGGATGCATAATTTAGTAGGATATCATATTTCAATGGCAGTGCTCTCCGGCTCTGCATGCCAGTAACGTATTCGGCTAATTGAATTAACTCTGACTGTCCTGGACGCCCAATTGGTTGTAACTTTTGACTGAGATGCTAATGTACATCAAATTTATAATGAATGGCTGTTTTGCTGCTTTTAAGACTCATAGGCTGATTAATCTATCAGGCTGTGATAGATTAGACTGGAGACACTTTAGATTGCAGCATAAGTTGCTGTTTGAGGACTTTTAACCTGCTTCATGTTGTCAGACAGGTTCCGTTTAATTGATTTCACTTCAGGAGTCAAATCTGTGAAATTGAACTCGGTTGTCTACAAGTTGAGGTAAATCGCTGTAATGTAATTATTTAACCAGCGGAATAGCTACCCTTTTTATACCAGGTCGGGTTGGAAAGTTTCTGTCGTTACTCATTTTATCTTCGTCTGATAATAAAAGTCTGAAAGTAAACCCAAGCAACATGTAAGAAGGAAAACACTTCTCTCTCTCTTTTTTTTTAATTATACGACTGTCTGGTCAGACTGCCTGCTAATTTAAGGCCTGCAATTGTGAATTACTGTTAAAAACTAACAGCACAACAGCAGAGCAGCGGACCGGAGGGGGGAGGATGAAGAGCAGACAGCTCCTCATAGGAAGGGAAGAGCGAACATCTGCATCAAGTGGCTGGG